ATGACAGAGAGAGAGAGAGAGAGAGAGAGAGAGAGAGGCTTTGTTTACTTAGGAAGCTGAGCGCAGCTAGTTCTGAGGGCTTACTCAAACAAGGGGGGTGTGTGTGTGTGTGTGCACAAAGACACACTCAGTCTGATCTGAGTGGCCGAGAGAGAGCAAGAAAAGTTTTGCACTGAGAGAGGAGTGCGTTTGAAGAAGAGAAGAACGTTGAAAGAAGAACATTTAGTTTTTACTGTACATATTTCTCACTTCAACTGCATGTGGGTTCCTTTTTGCCAGAAAAAAAGGAAAGAACAACAGAGTCAATTAAAGGAAGAAGTTTTTTTCAAACGGATGAAGCAGAATGGCGCGGTTTAGCGTGCACTGATGAAACGCTCAGATACACGCGCACACCTGGAGAGTTTCTGTTTCAAAACCCAACTTTTTTTGGACCTTTGAGGAAAGTTAAACATTTGGCCGTTTTTTTTTTTTGGTCTGTTTTCTCTTTTAATTTTTCAACTACACATTTTATGTGCTATGCTCGTGACTCCTGGCTTTTCTCTTGTGGAGTGATCGATTTGTTTTGGATGAAAGTTGAGAGTCAGGGTTGGAGGGACGGTTCACAGTAAAAGAAATTGAGTGTTACAGTGAAAAAGAAGAGACATGGATTTTGCTCCGTGCGAACCTGAGCCATGTCTCTCGCCAGCTGCCTTTGTAAACCAGGTGCAATATTCCAACATCCTGGAGGGCCGTTTCAAACAGCTGCAAGGTAAGACTGTTTGTTCTCTGTGACCTCATATTCGCTCTCTTTTTTTCTTTCTCAGATGCATCTGTAGGAGTAGCTCAGCCTCTCAGCTAATCATAAAACCATGTCAAATAACTTTTGTCTTTTGAACCACTTTATAAATCCACTGAGACGATCAACAACCTTGAATGTCACATTCAAAAATTTCATGTGACCTCATCCAGATCTAACTGGAAGACACCTTTGCCCTGACAGACTGAACCCCATCATCATGGACGTCACTTGTTTTTAAAAAGTTAGGTGGTGCATCACAAAGTGATGTAGGGTTAGCTCATGAATATTAATCTGCTTATGCACGAATAACTTCAACCGTTTTGATAATTCATCTTCCCGATGTATATATTAGGACTGCGGTACAGTATTTGCTAATTTTCATGTTAAAACATTAGAAATGTACTGAAATTAATTCAACAGCACATTAAATTGATATCAGACTAAGTTTCTAAGGTCTTGCTGATCAGTTCAAGTTCTCAAATAAATGCATGACATTTAAAGTAACAATACTTCAACTTTGACAACTGTGTCATAATGTAGTGGAGACAAAATTGGCCTTGTAAAAAGGCCAGGACATTTCCAACCTCAAATCTGTCCTTTGCAGATGCTGATGTATTTAGTTGCAGAAATGATCAACTTTCCTCTTCTCTCTCTCTCTCTCTGCACCATCTTTGAGAAAATAGGCCTACAATGATTAATTTTTATCCCTGTGTATGAGAGAGAGAGAGAGACACAGAGACCTGTGCTGGTCTCCTGGAGAGTGGCCTTATTTCAGGTACCGCAGGGCTTTTGCCCCAGATCCAAATTACACTGTGTTAAAATGGGAGTGGAGAGGAACAGACGGGAAGGGAAGAGGATAAGAAGGGGAGTGTAGAGGATAATAGGACTGGATAGGAGAGGATAGAAACTCCTCTTGTGTATGTATTAATATAGAGCTAGAGTTTTGAAGAACGTTAAAAAAATATACATTTTTTTGTGGGCGTATCGTTCATT